GACTATATCAACTTTTACACATTTAATTCTATATTTCATTGTTTTAATAATTTATTTTTTCACTCATATTTTTAATATATGTGAGAACAAAAAAAAGAAAAAGCTTCACGTATGATTCGAACTCTCTCCATAGCAGGGTTTAGCACAAGACAGACCGTGTTAACCACTACGCCACGAAGTATTTGTGTTATCGATGTCTGTCAGTGTGATTTAAATGAACAGGTTTGTTGAAGCGAAAATTTTTTCAGAAAAGTTCGATTTCATATAGAATGGGTTCAGATTCCAGTTTTTGGACAAATGAAATAGATTTCACATTTACATTTCTATCATTTAAGCGTTAACGAAAAATGGAGACTTGACCCTGTGTTCAAAATTCATTTTTTTATGGCTCTAGTAAACCCATTTTCCACTAAATACAGATAACTGTCAACTTTGAAAAAAAGATTGTCAAATGATAAGTCATTCAGTAAAATAAAACAATAAAATGCTTTGAAGATGACATTACTGGGAACATGATTTTAGAAAAATATAACTTTTTCATGAATTTTGAAAATTCAGAAACATATTGTCTCAGAGCTGGGGATTGTCCATGCCTTATATGCCCTCTTTCTTAGCTTGATAATAAATGAATATGTTGATCTCAGCATGGTTTTTGTTTATAGCTAAACAATCTGCTGAAATAAACTTTAATACTGGTACATGTAGAAGATAATCAGTCTTTCATTTACCTCTGGAGGGACACTCTCCTCCAAATGAGGGTAGAGAGCCAAGGGGTGCAGTACAAGACTATACTCTATTTCATCTATGTGGTCTCTTCTGCTTTGCTGAAGGGGTGTTGACCGAGAATAACATATTTGATGTTTGCTGAAGCGATTCTTCACAGCAGGCTGCTTAACTGGACTAATATTTTCACTACTGCCTTTTAGATTAGGGCCTGGTCCTTTATGACCCTGAAAATGATATATGAAATAAGCATGCAGAAATTGTGGCATAAAATATGTGTTTTCAAAGTAAACAACATTCATTCTTTTTAAAGGAAGACACTTTAAACTCTATTTCCGAACAAGATTAATGATTCATTTTTGAAACCCCATCTCATTTATCAGGTAAAAATATAAAATAATGATAAAATTAAACATTGTTAGAATTAGATGGGATCAAGAAAAAACTTCAAGATAACCAATTATTCAATATAAAAAGTCTAAATACTTAAAGAAAAAGGGGGTTGGGACTTCCAACACTAGTATTGCTATGAAAAAATACATTAACAAAGTTTAGGTGGAATTTTGTCACTGAATACTCATATACGTAAGACAAGCAACATCCAAGATGTTTGTGAAAGACTCTATCCGCAGGTTGAACCAATAGATCCACAAATTATCATCCACTGGGAAATGTGTGCAACACTATCTGTTTTTATTATTATTATTATTAGATACGATATTAATTATCACAAACTTTTATTAATATATCTCCTTTGACCGGTGGTGGGAGGCCATCTCTAAAGTCATCTAAACCATCCTTTAAGAAAAGCCAGTCCTTTCCCAGTAGTGCCTTGGATGTGTCTTCTGGTTTAAGTGATTTGATATACTTTGTATGTAATCTCTCTTTGTACCTGCATAATAAAATTTAGCAACTGTTAACTATTTCATTTCAGATTCATAAAATATACAAAGATGCAAGTGATAACTAAAAAATGTTGTGCATAATTATGATGATGTTATGAAAACAAAGACTTTCTGTATATTCTGAAAATATAATTTTATTGAAATAATTCAATTCGCCCTGAATCCATTGTACTCCACCTAGTGACGTGGAGTATATGAAGCAAATCAGGGACAGGGAACCAGGCTGATAATGCAACATACATACAACGTCATATGACATCAGAGTCTTAGACGCGCCTAAGGTCACATGCAGTTTGACATGTCCGATCTAAATGAAAACTGGATAAGGATCTAGGGCCCGTTTTACAAAAGAACTTACGACTAAGACCAAAAACTTTAGATGATTGTAAAATTTTGCAAAATTAATCATTCTCTTTGAAATTGTTTTGTAAAAACATCTTACCACATTCTTTTAAAAAAGTTAAAAATAATTTTCGATATAAAGTTAATTAAAAAGTCATATGAAGAATTAAATGGTCTTAAGTCATAAGTCCTTTTGTAAAACGGGCCCCTGCACTCGCCCTAACGGTCGCACCGTCAACATAGTAGTCATATGGCTACATTAACTTAACAAGACTAAAGTCATAATTTTGATCCATTCAAATGTCTATTTAAAGTATATTATTCACACAAACATCCCCCCACCTAAATTGCAAATATTGGTAAAGTATAATACAAAATATTACCAAGGTTTTTCTCTTATCTTTGTCCCAGATGCAGTATTAACCAGAGCCAAATCGTACTTAAGTTCAGCCATTACGTTCGATAGTCGGCCATTTGTTTACACCGAAGATGTCAAAAACGGAAGTGAATACGCAAATAGGAACATGCATCTTCTTATTCTACTATGAGTAAAAGCGTCCATTGTTCTCTTTATATGTATGCATTTAAAAAGCAATTCTTTTTGCAAATTTACTCTTCCTTTTGAATATATAAATAAAGCAAGGGTTTTGCAATATCATAAAAATAGTTCCTTGCGCATCCGTTGTCAAGGTGGTTAATTTTAAGTGGCGGGAATTTTGAATCTCATTTGTAAAACTTTTTTTTTAATATATTGTGGCAAAAGGTACTCTCCCTACGGGAAGCATGATTTGACCAAACTTCAGTTTACACTACACGTGGATGCTTACATACAAAATTGACTGATCATGACTTTGCTGTTCTTGAGAAGCTTTTTTTCTAATAAATCCCCATATATAACCTTTTGATTTCCCCCAGTGACTCCATCTTCCAATCTTTGAGGGTCATGATAAATAAAATTGATTCTTAACTTTTTCGAGAAGTTTTTACATGTATCCTCTTTTCTAACCCAGTCATTCTTGAAAATATACAGTATTAATTACCAATATTTTCACTTTTTCTTAATTATCTCCCTTTGGAATAGGGTACTGCTTAATCTTCAAGGATAGGTGAAGGTAAAAAAAAAAAAAAAAAAGGACACATTCCGCTCTTACATATTGAGACTAAATCATGAAGATTATGTCCACATTAAATACACATTAAATTTAATTTTTTTTTAATAAGACATGATCGAGGTTTTCCCCGTTTCATGTAAATACAAGCTAGGTTACTATTTACAGGTTTTTTGGACATTCAGGAATTAATCAAGGAACCAACTATATTCTATGTCATTAATATGGGTATGCATGCAGACAATGGTCAAATTTTGATCAGTCGACCACCTACCATCCCTATCAGTGATTAATAATTGTTGAATATATATTTGAAAAATAAATAAACAGTAAGTATTTAGCTATGCCAAATTGAACAGTTAATTTACAGATTAAAAAAAACAACAAATATTTATTACAATTTTGTATTTTTTTCAAACAGTTGTAATAAAATTGATCCAAACAAATTTTCAACACCATATATCTAATAATTATATTCAAACAGTTCATGTATGTAAAAACATGATTGAAATCACCTACATATGGCACAACTCAATGAATATGGCATCCTCCAAATACCAGTAATGAAAGTATTATGCTAATTATACAGATCTGATCTGTCAGTCATTGTTTGCTGATCTTTTTTTCATCTTGAACAAACTTTTCTGGGTAAATGAAGCCTTTGGCTCAGGTGAGCTATGAAGAAGGAACTACATGTATATGTTCTAGCTAGCTAACATCAAATGACAAATAAAAAAAACACTATACAGTGGAGCCTCATTTATCCGGATGCTTTGGTTCCTAGTCAATTTGTCCGGATATGTGAAGTGTCCGGATATCTGAATTACCATTTAAACAAGACAAAATAACATTAAAAAATTCCGTTCCAATGAAAAGTCGTCCAGATACTGAAGCATCCGGATATCTGAAGGTCCACTACAGTACATGTATTTTTGTGTTTAATTAAGCATATACACATCACCAAAATACTGCAAGACCTATGGATAATATACACTGTATGGTACGTAACTGGTTACACAATTTATAAATTCGATATTATTTTGCAAAACCACAGACTACATACTCATACAGAACACACAGGCGCTTGTGATACAATGCTATATGGGACATCTTGTATATCACCGGCATGCAATTACAAATTATAACTTATCTCATTAAAATTCTCAAATAAATGATAGAAAAGGAAAATCTGACAATAGCATATTAGGATGTTAATTAACTAATAAATGTTAAGGACATTATTTTTAAAAAAGGTTAAGCTGCAAAAATATAAACTATATACATTTTATAGAAATACATGTATGTTAAATATATTTCTTTTCATTCATAACATATTTATATTACTGGTATGCAACAATTTTACTGAAATGTATAAAGGGTTATTTTCACTCCATGTTATTTTTGATCAGTCACATTTGCAATAATATTGATTTCATACATTTTAAAATTGCTTATTGACAATCAGTTGAGTTAAAAAGAGATACTGAAAACATTGTATGATTTCATTTCTATTGATTTCCATAGCCACTGGCATTATGAAGGTGTAAATAAATTTAGGGCAAAAACTTCCCTGTATAAACACTGCATGTATAAACACATGAAATTACCATCTCACATGAAAACTATTCATATTTATAAGCTCTTTTACCAAAGATGCATTTTAACTGAAACATCACCATACTATGTAACAACATACTTTCTCAAGAATATATTACAGATTCAAGTTAATTAAACTTGAAATCATTGAATTCCTGGTCACAATTTAAATTAGACTGTGGACTATGTCTCAATTTAAACATAGCCACAGTCTAATGTATCCTGTGATATACTTTAATTAACTAACTTATAGTTTTAAAGCATGCCACATCAGATATAAGTACCACAGCATTTAATTACCAGTACTAAATGCTATATACTTATATAGGTATATAGTTGCTATATAAAAATATAGCATTAATATTCAAGGTGTAACAACTTTCTGCGACCACAAATGTACATCTCCTTGACTAAAGAATATTGATTCTGATTCAGAGGAGAGATCACATCTCTGGCAGTCATACCAATCTCATTAAAATCTAATCTTTGATATCACAACTCCAAAAAGACAGTATGGTGCATTACAAGTCAGAAAATTGAATCATTTGGGGGGTAGTAGGGAATCAATGAAATTCTAATACTTTGCAAAATTTGACATTCTTTTTGAAAAAAAAATCAGAGAAATATTATAAATGCTTTCCAAAAGCTGACACTACAACATAGTTCAAATAAATTTTCATGTATTCAATAAAGGAGTACCAAAAAAAAAGTTTAGTGAATTACAAAATTATTCAGAAACTTATTAGATGATTCTTAAATACCACTGAAAACTAAACATATGAAATGGTGCTTTATAGGTAGATTTACAAGATGGAGAAAAAAAATTGCAGACATGCAATGCAACCATTTAGTCATGGAACTTGTTGAAAGAACTGGAAATCAATGAGATACAGGTATTGCAAAATTACCACTCTGGTATTGCACCTCTACTATAATTTTTTCATTTTATAAAATACTAAAGCAGTTTATACAAAGGTGTGACAAATGAAGTTTATCACAGATGGTGCAAAAAATAAAAAAAAACATTACATAACTCTACCTGAAAATTTCATAAGAAATTTGAAAGTATAGATCTCTGATAGGACTTTTCATATTGAAATACAAACATTTTAACCGAATTATCTCTAATTTTTGTACATATGAATTAAAGTTTCTATTACCAAAATGAAGTTTATCATCATATAAAATTCTGAAAATTTTACTTTTTAGTTTCAAAAAGGCACCTTTCTATAATAAAACTTCATTGTACACCTCTGTCTGCATTACTGACAGCTTTGTACAATGTTATTCCAAGCCTCTTGATCATATTTTGTAATAGCATTCTTGAAGGTGTATTTCATTATGCATCCTGTCTTTTTTTTCAACTGCAGTAGGGTCTGGTAAGCTATTTCTACGATAGATTCTCTCTTATTGTCCATATCTACTGTCTGTATATCTATTTCAGGAAGTCCTAGTTCCCTTACAACACTGATGTAAAGTTTCTTTGGTACCAGGTACCTTGAAGCCTGCCAAAGGTCTCTCTCTGTCAACTCTTCTCTGCAATCTGTAATATACAAGATTGATTTTGAAATACTTGCATTAGTTATTTGGATTATTGCATACTTACCATTATAAATGTTATTTAAAATTCTTGATGGATTAAAAGTAAACCTGTTTTTGCATTTTCTAAAGCTTTTTAAAACAATAAATGTAATGTCTATTTTGAATTTATAAATGAGTAAAACAGAAATAAAATTTGGTAACATTTTTAAAGATTAAAATTGGAAAGAAAAAATCTAGATGCAACACTATAATGATTCTGAAAACCATATAAGAAGAAATTTTAGCAAGGATTCAATTTTGGCATTTTTGTTGAGACTGCTAAAATTAAATATCTTAACAATTTATTCTGCATTAGAAGCTATCTTTCTGTGCACCATAAAGTCACTAAAATTAAATACATGTACTGATTTTGAAGGACAAATTAGTAAAATTGCTTCTTGCTAAAAATTCTGTTTAAATGGTAAAGCTTACTTTTAGCCTCCTTAGAGATTACAGTCACATCAGCATTTGATTCCTTCACAGAATATGGAATGGGAGCAAGAACTGTATGCCCAATGTAATCCCTATCCCTCTTTCTCTGTCCATCAAGTGGATATGACCACTGACGTTCATATAGGATCTTTCTGGCAGAGCTTTCTCTGGGAATGCTACCTTCATCTGACTCAGATGCTGGACTCTCCTCTTGGTCTGAATTGTCGACCTGAGGGCCGTCCTGAATGGACAGACTTTCCATTGACTCATGGAATGTCTCCGATTTTAAATCTAAACTGTTCAAACTACAGGATTCTTGAGTCTCCTGAATAGGGAAATTAGACACCTCTTGGCTACGGTCGCAATGGACTGGATTATCGCTTCCATCCACACATAAACTTTCTTGAGACTCCCTCAAGAGTACACACTGGGATATGGTGGAAATAAGAGCATCTGAATCCGTGTCCAGTGAATTCGATGATTCCAGAAGTGGGGATATTTCTTCATCCTTGCAGGGTGGCATTTCAATAACTGTATGGTCACTGCTACTGTTCATCTCCTTTAAACTCTGGCTTCTGAAAATAGTGTTATTTATACAACACAAAAAATCTTAATGAGACAGTTCTATGTGTAACTCATGCTTCCTTTAAATCTTCTAATCAAGAAAAGTAGTGATAGTCATAATACAGTGACCATAATATACTGTATGAATTCCCAACTTTATTATATCCTAATATTTACATTTCCAATGTCTTTGTTCGAGATAAAATTACAAATAGTTAATAAACTTTATTTCTCCATCAATGTACTGGTTCATCAATAGGCGCAGTTAAAAAATATAACGTGCAGGGCAGGAAAAATAGAGACAAGAAGTGGGGCTTGTAGCACGTGGAATGGCGGAATCAATAGCATGTAAATATAAGGAAAAACTGTCAGATTTTTCGATTTCATGACTATGATCAATCGATTGGCTAGCGTGATAATTTTATGCAAATTATCATGCAAGACAATCAATTGATCACATCATGAAATCGAAAAATTAGACAGTTATTCCTTAAATCAATCTCTTATTTGGCAATAAGAGGGCTGATTGAAAAATACCTATTTATTTGATATATTAAATGTTTGAAATTCCACTTTATACTTACGGACTGTTCTGTAAATCTTCTCTTTCTTTATTGTCCCTAGGTCTAACTGAAAAAAAGGATACAATTAGCCACTTCTGTAATTTGTACAAAAAAATTGTACCAATTTGTACCATAATAAATCCCAACATATGGCATACCTAAAGAAAGAGTGTGCTAAAATTTCAATCATTTATGATGAGGGGTTGCTGCAACCAAAAATGTGGTACAGAAAGAAGCATGGATAAACAAGTAGTTGATTTCAGATTTAAAAAAAATATATATCCCACCATATAGCATGTACAAACAAAGAGTTTGCTAAAATTTCAAGCATCTGCAACATATAGTTGCAGGGAAAACTGCATGTATTGGATATTTGGAACACATAGATGCACCGAGATAAACAGGGAGTAGAAATCATATTTGAAGAGGGCTACATTAATGCAGCTAGCCTTAACAGTGTACTAAATTTTAATCACTTGTGATGAGTACTTGCTAAAAACATAGGTAATCAGAGATTACAGAGCTCACCTCAACGAATGTTGTCTTTAAGTAAGGCAAAGTCGCACAATTAACCAACAAAAAGTATACATTCCAAAAATGAAAATATTTTTAAAAGCAATTTTGATCTGATACTTTGAAATAGACCTACATAAAAAATTTAAACTACTTCTTCTTCATGAAAATGTAATGAAAATCCAGCATCTGAAGCAAATTTGAGAGTTTTCATCTCTTGATGCAGCATTTGTGCAAGTTTGGTTTATACAATGTTATATAAGCCTTATAGTTTTTGGTAATAGACCTGCAACCATAACTTTTACCTTGTCTATTATCTGAAAAATGTATGTCCAATTCAGCATCTGAAGCAAGTCCATTAGTGTGCATCCTTAGATGTATCATCCATGCAAGTTTGCTCATTATAGGGCTCATAGTTTATTGGAAATGAAACATGCATCAAAACTAACATTTTCACTCATCCACAAAAAATAGGTCAGATTCAGCATCCGAAGCAAGCCTGGAAGTATGCATCCTTAGATGTATCATCTATGCAAGACTGGTCATTAAAGAACTCATAGTTCCTTGGAAATGAAACCTGCACCAAAAACTTTTAACTATTCACTCAACCGGAAAATGTAGGTCAGATTCAGCATCCGAAGCAAGCCTGGTAGTGTGCATCCTTAGACCTGCAACCATAACTTTTACCTTGTCTATTATCTGAAAAATGTATGTCCAATTCAGCATCTGAAGCAAGTCCATTAGTGTGCATCCTTAGATGTATCATCCATGCAAGTTTGCTCATTATAGGGCTCATAGTTTATTGGAAATGAAACATGCATCAAAACTAACATTTTCACTCATCCACAAAAAATAGGTCAGATTCAGCATCCGAAGCAAGCCTGGAAGTATGCATCCTTAGATGTATCTTCTATGCAAGACTGGTCATTAAAGAACTCATAGTTCCTTGGAAATGAAACCTGCACCAAAAACTTTTAACTATTCACTCAACCGGAAAATGTAGGTCAGATTCAGCATCCGAAGCAAGCCTGGTAGTGTGCATCCTTAGATGTATCATCCATACAAGTTTGGTCAACATAGGGCTTAAAGTTACTTGCAAATGAAACCTGCACCAAAAACATTAACCTGTTCGCTCAACTGGAAAATGTAGGTCAGATTCAGCATCCGAAGCAAGCCTGGTAGTATGCATCCTTAGATGTATCATCCATGCAAGTTTGGTCAACATAGGGCTTATAGTGACTTGGAAATGAAACCTGCACCAAAAACTTTAACCTGTCCACTCAACTGGAAAATGTAGGTCAGATTCAGCATCCGAAGCAAGCCCGGTAGTATGCATCCTTAGATGTATCATCCATGCAAGTTTGGTCAACATAGGGCTTATAGTTACTTGGAAATGAAACCTGCACCAAAAACTTTAACCTGTTCATTCAACCGGAAAATGTAGGTCAGATTCAGCATCCGAAGCAAGCCCAGTAGTATGCATCCTTAGATGTATCATCCATGCAAGTTTGGTCAACATAGGGCTTATAGTTACTTGGAAATGAAACCTACACCAAAAACTTTAACCTGTTCACTCAACTGGAAAATGTAGGTCAGATTCAGCATCCGAAGCAAGCCCGGTAGTATACATCCTTAGATGTATCATCCATGCAAGTTTGGTCAACATAGGGCTTATAGTTACTTGGAAATGAAACCTGCACCAAAAACTTTAACCTGTTCACTCAACCGGAAAATGTAGGTCAGATTCAGCATCCGAAGCAAGCCCGGTAGTATGCATCCTTAGATGTATCATCCATGCAAGTTTGGTCAACATAGGGCTTATAGTTACTTGGAAATGAAACCTACACCAAAAACTTTAACCTGTTCTCTCAACCGGAAAATGTAGGTCAGATTCAGCATCCGAAGCAAGCCCGGTAGTATGCATCCTTAGATGTATCATCCATGCAAGTTTGGTCAACATAGGGCTTATAGTTACTTGGAAATGAAACCTACACCAAAAACTTTAACCTGTTCACTCAACCGGAAAATGTAGGTCAGATTCAGCATCCGAAGCAAGCCAGGTAGTATACATCCTTAGATGTATCATCCATGCAAGTTTGGTCAACATAGGGCTTATAGTTACTTGGAAATGAAACCTGCACCAAAAACTTTAACCTGTTCACTCAACCGGAAAATGTAGGTCAGATTCAGCATCCGAAGCAAGCCTGGTAGTATGCATCCTTAGATGTATCATCCATGCAAGTTTGGTCAACATAGGGCTTATAGTTACTTGGAAATGAAACCTACACCAAAAACTTTAACCTGTTCACTCAACCGGAAAATATAGGTCAGATTCAGCACCCGAAGCAAGCCCGGTAGTATGCACCCTTAGATGTATCATCCATGCAAGTTTGGTCAACATAGGGCTTATAGTTACTTGGAAATGAAACCCACACCAAAAACTGCACCAAAAATGTTAACCTGCTCCAAAAACATTAACCTGGTCATTCCTTTGCTGAAATTGCAGCATCTGAAACTTTGACTGGTACAATGAAACACACTAGAAACATCTTCCATGCATGTCTAATCAATATAGGACATAGAAGTACTTAAAAAGAAAACTGCTAAAAAAACTTAACCTTAACCCGGGACGCCGACGCCGACGCCGAGGGTATTACATAAGCTCCCCCAACTTCGTTGAGGTGAGCTAAAAAATTGTGAAGAAAATTTGTTAGGGACAGACACATGAACACACAGTGTAAAACAAAATGCCCCCGCTCCGAAGGAGGAAACATTTGTAAGGTTTTTTCCCAATAATTGACCAGTATTAATTTAACACTGTCTGGCCTGACCCCTTTAGTCCCTCTCTCCCCCTCCCCCATAAATATTGAATATTGCAATTGTCAGAGAAGACAAATACTCATTTTTATCTGCAAACGGTTTTTCTGCTAAATGAAACATACGGATAGTATAGTTTTTGAAAGACTGCTTGAGTTTTGATTATTCTGGTCTCATTCTTTAGGTCCCAGTAGAACTGTGACTAGAAATTCAGTCTTCATTCCCTTTTAGGCATACCACAGATGAAATTTTATTTCATTTACATATTCTTTCATGAAGTTTTTTTTAGCATACTCATTACTCATAAAGGTCAGAAAAGGGAATTCCCATAAAATATTTTTTTGTTAAATTAAAAATCATACATAAAATTTCAAATCTTTTTCAAGGATTTTTTCAATGCAATTAATGTACTTTCTTTTACCTTTATCCATGCATATAAAAAGTTTTCCATTGCGCAGATAAATGGTCATAACCGGCACAATTATGGCAATGGTAAGACATATCATACCAGCAATAATGATGAAGCTCAGACTATTGCCTACAAAAGAAAAAATAAAAAAAAATATTCTGTGTTAAGTTTGGTTAAAATTTACCCAGTGGTTCTGGAGAAGATGAAATTGTAACATTGGGACCTCGGTAACAATGACAAGGTCGTTGAAGTGAATAAACATCTGTCCCAGTTATTGTTAGAATGTGATAACAAATTGTAATTTCATCATTCAACACGTGTTTCAAATTACAATTGTATCACATTATTTTTTACTTATGTTATAATGTTAGTACATGTATTTCTGTTGTTGGGCGGTTTTTTAACCCCACCTTTGCAAATTTATTGTCATTTATTCAATTATTTTTGGTTAATCAATGTTTGACATTAATTTCATCATTTGATCAAATATATTTTATGATAAATTGAATAAATGACCTTTCTCACATTAAGTTAGAGATGTTTGTAAAACACTTATGTCCCCTCTCCCAAATAATCGGAATTTTTCTAAGTCCAAGGGGTATTAACTCTGTCAAAAATGGCTCGATCATATCCAAAACAGAATCTGACCTAGATATTCTTACAATAAATCTGTATGCCAATTTCATTTGAATATGTGTAACCTCTATGAAGAAAATGAAAGAAAACTGCAAATAATTGGAATTTTTTCCAAGTCCAAGGGGCATAAGTCTGTCAAAAAAACCTCAGTCATACCTGAAAAAGAACTTGACCTAGATATTCTTATGATAAATTTGTATTCCAAGTTTAATTGCAATATGTGCAACCTCTGCAAAGAAAATGAACAGAAACTGAAAATTCTCTATGTCCAAGGGGCATAATTCTGTCAAAAATGGCTCGATCATACCCAAAACAGAACTCAACAGAGATATTCAATTCATATGATAAATCTGTACACAAAATTTCATTTCAGTTTGTGCAACCACTGCAAAGAAAATTCAGAAACTTCAGAAAAACAGAAACTTCAAATAATAAGAATTTCTCTAGGTCCAAGGGGCATAACTCTGTAAACAAGAGGCCCATGGGCCACATCGCTCACCTATGAAGCTTTGACCATTCTGTTCTTTAGCAGATTTCCCCTTTGTAATACATAATGCATCCCCACCCTACCCCACTGATCATAATTTAGACATTTTGAAATCTAAACTACCCCATGATCCTTCCATGTGCACATAAGTTTCAGCTTTTCTGGCCCAGTGGTTCTTGAGAAGAAGATTTTCAAAGATTTTTCCTATATATTTCTATGTAAAACTTTGATTACCAATTGTGGCCCCGCCCTTTCCCTGGGGGTCATGATTTGAATAATTTAGAATCTACACTACCCCAGGATGCTTCCACATAAGTTTCAGTTTTTCTAACCCAGTGGTTCTTGAGAAGAAGATTTTCAAAGATTTTTCCTATATATTTCTATGTAAAATTTTGATTCCCCATTGTGGCCCCGCCCTTCCCCGGAGGGTCATGATTTGAACAATTTAGAATCTACACTATACCAGGATGCTTCCACATGAGTTTCAGCTTTTCTGACCCAGTGGTTCTTGAGAAGAAGATTTTCAAAGATTTTCCTATATATTTCTATGTAAAACTTTGATTCCCCATTGTGGCCCCGCCCTTTCCCTCGGGGGTCATGCTTTTTACAATTTAGAATCTACACTACCCCCAGAATGCTTCCACATAAGTTTCAGCTTTTCTGGCCCAGTGGTTCTGGAGAAGAAGATTTTCAAAGATTTTTCCTATATATTTCTATGCAAAACTTTGATTCCCCATTGTGGCCCCGCCCTTTCCCCCGGGGGTCATGATTTGAACAGTTTAGAATCTACACTACCCCAGGATGTTTCCACATAAGTTTCAGCTTTTCTGGCCCAGTGGTTCTTGAGAAGAAGATTTTTTAAAGACCCCACCCTATTTTTGTCTTTTCTTGATTATCTCCCCTTGTGAGGGGACTTGGCCCTTTATTTTAACAATTTAAATTCCCCTTTACCCAAGGATGCTTTGTACCAAGTTTGGTCAAAATTGGCCCAGTGGTTCTTGAAAAGAAGTCGAAAATGTGAAAAGTTAACAGACGGACAGACGGACGGACAGATGGACGGACGACGGACAAAATGTGATCAGAAAAGCTCACTTGAGCCTTCGGCTCAGGTGAGCTGAAAATGGCTCAACTGTACCCAAAACAGAACTTGATCTAGGTATTCTATGATAAATCTGTATACCAAATTTCTTTGAGTATGTAACAGCTGCGAAGAAAATGAATGGAAACTTGGTGGATCAACAGACAGACTAACCAACAGACGGCAGCAAAGCAATATGCCCTCTCTTCTTGAAGGGGGGAATAAAAAGTTAACAATGACAGTGATGACAATGACAACAACAAAAGACAAATTCTGATCACAGAAGCTCACTTCAGCCTCCAGCTCAGGTGAACTGCAGAGCTGTAGCTCTCCAAAAAAATATATTGACAGACTGGAGAGCTACAGTGCCACCCATTGAAAAAACTGTATATTTATTGCGCACAAAAAAGTGCGCTGTTTCACGATTTATTTTTCCATGTTTTTCAAATTGTCATCTCAAAATATTACTACTTTTGCTGATTCCACAACAAAACATTCCTTATAACTGCCCTCCTGGCCCTGAAATTGAGATGATAAAAAATTTTCTCTATTCATACTGCCATTTTTGTTTGCAAGATAATTCGGTCTAACGTGCTTTATGCAGATGTCAACAATGAGAGTACTTGATAGAATAGGATTTTTTTTATATTTAGCTTTTTTGCAATAATTATTGATTAGGTAAGAATTTGAAAAAATTAATCCAGAACCAAGCGCAAATTTTTGTGCGCAATAAATATACCGTTTTTTCAATGGGTGGTACTGTAGCTCTCCGGTCTGTCAATATATTTTTTCAGAGAGCTACAGTTCTGCAGCTAAGGTGAACTAAAAATATCAATATACAAAAGATCATCCCTGGATGTTTGTATTTATGCAAGAAAGTCATACTGCTCCAAATTTCCTTCAAAGTTCACATTTATTTTACTCACCGTTTTCATCACCCTTACTTTCAGCACTTCCTCTCCCTCCAGAATAAGACTTAGGACTAAGTCAAATAGAAACAAGAAAACCCAAATTAAATATATATCTATAAATTACTGGTACATACAGGTATAAGAATTAAATACAAAGAATAATAAACACTAAGAAAGAGCAGTTGCATAAACTGACATTAAATAACATACTTTTCTATATTATCTGCAGGGGGCAAGACTCCATCACACACTGTATCCTTCAGATGTGTACATGGGACAGTCTCGTATTGACCATGAAGTGTACAGTTCCTACAAACTGTACATTCATAGGATCGACCTTTACTGAAAGTGCCGGGTCTACATTTCTGACAAGGTCTGCATTCCGTGGGTCCAGTCTCGGGATTCCAGTTTATCAAGTTCCATTTCTACAATTTAAAAACAAGAGGCCCATGGGCTACAGTGCGCACAAAACTGCCTGATTACTGATTAGTATACCACTAAATCATTGCTTTGTGCATTATGTCAAATGCAATGTTTTCACACGTTTGAAAAATCTGTATGCAGGTAAATAAATATTGTAATTTCTGCTTATATAAATTTCATGTTTTGTTTCCATTTATATAAAATTTATAATTGAAAATTACATTTTTCTATCTTAAATATGAAGACAACATTTTCATGTTCATAGTTCTGAATTAAGGGGGCCGACTCTAGTTTTCATTGCACAATATTTCGCGCATCCTAGTAAAATGACGTGTATTTGCTGTTTCAAAGCAATTTTTCCACTTGATTAATAAAATTAAACAAAATTGAGAAATTTCAGGTTTAAAAATGTAATTACAATTTTATATAACTGAATTTTTAACCGATTTTGCAACTGATAGGTAGGTTAATTGACGTCGTTATAGCAGTGTATAGTGCGATTTTAACGTTATGATAACTGAAGCTCTTTAAGAAAGGGGTAATAAAAATGTTATTAAATAAAAAGTAATAAACATACGCTCTTGAAATTTACTACATAGGAATTTGATAATCTCTTCATCATATTTTATCATATTTTGGTATAAATCCTATGTTTGCGTCATATTTTGTAGCACTCTATAATAACAGGAAAATTCGTTAATTTTTGGCGTTTTGAGATGCCCCCTCTGGTAACAAGATGGTAGAATTTTGTGTTCCATACACATAATGAACAAGATAATATTACTCATCATATATTATAGTTTGAACAAAAATGCTAATGTACTATTTGCATACATGTTAATCTATTGTGATGAAAAATAGGGAGATTCAGACCTCAAAAGCGGTAGCATTGCGCGTGTGTTGTTTAACGCTTGGATTATCGATATCTTTCATGTAATATACATTAAATGAAATCAGGTACCTACACTAATTAATCTTAAATATCAACAGCAAAGAAGAAGACAGAAACACCTTAACTTTGACATAAATTGTAAAAATACAAATATTTTTCATGCTCATCATTTTGCTTGGATTGGCTAGCTGCTTTACTTAACCTTTTGAAGAGTGATCTTTGCTGATATAGCCTAGAAGCAATAATTCTGAATGTTCAACAAATGATGACATGGTTTAATCTAGATCTAAAACAAGTTCCTATCTTTCGTTATATAAATAATATTTCCCGCAATGATCGAAAACGAAAGTAGAGACGTGCCACATGGCTTGGTCAATCGAGTGATTTCTATTGACTTTATTGATAAAGTTGTGAGCTTCTGTGCTTTTAAAGACGATGTCAAATGTTTTCATCTAAGTCTTTTAAAAAATCTGTATGATCTCCTTTTTCATGGCAGGGATGTTGATTAATTTATCATAACCAATGTAATCACTGGTCTTGTGTTGTTGTCGTTGTCAAATCCGTGCTTGAAATCTATGTACAAAAAAAGCGTTTGTATGATTCCGAGTCAAATCACGCGATATCTAGCGAGATTTTATGAGAGTGGCTTCAAAAATGGATACCCAAGCAAACCAAAAATACTTTAGACGCAGCTTTTGTAGAAAAGCGGTAGATTTCTGAATTAAATCGGTAGGCGGGAGATGGAGTGAAAAAGCGGTAGACTCCCGCCTAAATCGGGAGAGTTAACATGTATGCTATTTGTATAATTTGCTTTAAAATGCTAAAAATTGACACTTTCCTATATAATCCTATAGAAAATGTACCTATATTTTGAGACGGCACCTTAAAAATACCTTGGACGGTAGATTTCACCCAAACTTTGCATGTACACTAAAGTTAATGTAAGTTATAAATGGTATAAAAATGAATAGTTTCGCTATTGTAATTTTCACGCAATAAAACCATAGTCGGCCCCCTTAAAACAGCAAATTAAAAAATACCTCCATAGGAATGACTTCATCCCCTTGAAGGCAATCCTCACACTGAAAACAGGTTAGGGCCTGGGAATGATAATACATGTTGTCTTCAGGGTCACATTTAGGAGTCCTCCCCTCCACCATCGGGAGACTCAAGATACTCATGGTAAAAAGCATTATGTATATCTCTGATTTTGGAGCCCTCATTTCTATTTCAAAAAACAAAACAAAAAAATTTGTGATAAAATGCATGTTAGCAACATGCATGCAGTATTATTTATACACTGGTATATTCACATTTACCCCTACTTTTGAGAGAAAATTTTGGTATTGAATATACAGCCATCTGTTTTATCTGTGAAACTTTCTTGTCATCACTTCTATATTTTTTTTCATATATTGAGGTAGCCAAAAAGGGGGGGGGGGGGTCCAATGCTAGCATCTGATCATTTGTATTCCTCTGGTTTGTCTTTCCATGTTATTTTTCAGAATTTATGATTGTAATCTTAACTGCATGTCTGTATAGGTCAGGAACAAAGAGCAAAACTTTATACCCATGAATTTTTTATTATGGGGGCCCCATAATTCAAAAAGATGCTCTTTAATTGAAATCAAAATAATAATTTTAAAAAATCAACACAAAAATAAACCTGTAAATATATACACATGGTACTGGTAGGCCCTGTATGTTTTTAATTAATCAACATTACATAGTTAAATATTTGTAGTCTTTAACAATTATTTGCAGCAACTTAATATAAATTATGGATAATTATTGTTTTTACAATATTATGTACAAAATGATGTCTTGGAGTTATTTGCGCAGTTACGTCCATATTCATTATTCAGAAGAAACTCAACATATCTGCAATCCTATTAAATAAACTTGTCATGAAACACCATACCTTTTCTCCAGAAGTTTCATATCTCAGGGCAGAGACTAATTTAATTAATAGGAAAGTTGCAACCTTCAAAAAGATGCGATTTTCCTAGTTTTTTGATAAATTATTTGCCTATCGACCACTTTTAACTTCCTTTTTGACAGATACCGGTTAAAACCAGCCCACTTCGGCAAGTATCGATACTTCTCGGGTACGGCCTACACAGAAAATTCATCGGATCTAACGCAACATTATTGTAAAAGTGGCGAAGGCATTTAAAAATGCTATCAGTGTGAGTTACAAGAGAGAGAGAGAGAGAGAGAGAGAGAGAGTTAAATTAAGTCTACGTTTAAAAACGTAGGATATCATTATGATTAACTCAAAGCAATGACACGCTTAATATTTAACATCCTGATAATAATGTACTATTGATTTATAAATATTTTTTAATAATTTGTTTCTAATTGTAACACGTCATTTAATTGGATAAAAGATTTAGTTTATATCGTATAGCATAATTAAGTTTCCTACGTCACAATGAGTTACGTCTAAAACGTATAACTCCGCCTGACGTTACTTTTTAAAAAAATATATATATGCTCCATTTGAAGCTATTTTTAGAGGGAAAATATGTCTTATTATATATACTGAAATTAAAATATAACGAATGAAGCTTATTTTAAGTTAACCTATCTTATACGATATAATGTAACTTGAGGCAGTTTACGCTTTTTAAAAAACCGCTTCGCAATTAATTTACAAAGCGTAAACTGCCTCAAGTTATGTTATATCGTTTAACATAGTTTAAAGTAAGCTTCATTCCTTAATTAATTGTTTAGATCATATTTCAGGTATTGTTGGTTTATTCTTTGGTTTAATTGGTGAAGAAACATTATGCATATTACAATGAAAAATGGACTGACATTTGATTTATGAGAGTAAGCTTAGTTGAAAGTATTTTTATGTATATGTTAAAAATATTTTCAAATTGTACATGTATTATATATAATTCGTGTACATGTATTTAAATAATTGATAAAATATATATATTGTATATCTTTTGTCATTGTTTTCATTTATTAATCGGGTCTATTCCACAGGAGTTAGCGTACCTATCAATTTTACCAGAGACATAATTATAATATTATTTTACCGAAATTTTCAGTAAATTAAAAAAAAAAGGTAATACTTATAAATGTTATTGTTATATGGGTATTACGTAATTTTTTAATTCACTGAAAATTTCGGTAAAATTGATAGGCGAATTCTAAGGTCTATTCCTTTACAATGCAACTGTACTCCATAAGCATGAAAAGTTGTGTTCGACTCGGTGCGACTCGGTATGATCAAAATTATAAATAGCAAAGGGAATTTCCAACAAATAATTGTAAGGTACTCGGGTACGACCAGCAAAAAATAGGGGGGATTTCGGAAATAAATATGTCCTTGGTTATAACTATTAAAAATAATATATATGTCCCCAGTATCTTAATTTGGAACTAAATATTCTTTCCTACAGGGCATGAAAATAATCATCTGGCTCGATAAAATTTGACCCCCCCCCCTTTCAGAATCAAGTCCTTATCCACGTATGTAGAAGTCATAGGTGTTGGAACCGGGGAGGGGGGCTTTAAACTTTTTTGAAAAGATAGACATAATAATGGCATTGAACATTGAGGCGTAGGTTTAGCCCCCTCCCCTTTCAAGAACATGCACATATTGCAGTGTATTCAAAGAAGGATAAGTGGTAAGGTTTTGAAGAAAAAAAATGGCACTGGAAGAAGTTTGACCCCCCCCCCCCTTCGATTTGCTTCCGACACTTCTGTTCAAATTCGAGCTTTAGATCAATTTCATTCACACAGTCAAGTTTTTCTTCAGGGACACTTGGGGACTGAACCCCCTTTCATTTTTTTTTACTTTTTAAACCTGGGATTGATACACACGTTAGTCATACCTTTTTCTTCTTTTTGTCCCCCGCTGAAAGTGGGGA